GGGAGGCCTCATTGTGGTCTTCAACATCCTCATGAGGGGCAGCAGAGGGGCAGACACTGATCTCTTCACTCTCGTGACCAGTGACACGAGTGGGGATGGGAGGTCTGAGTGGCCACAGCACCTCATCCAGTGTGATGGGGCTGAGCCCCTCAGCTTTCCTCCCCACAAGCTTTCCTTCCCCAGCTTTCCTCCCCTCTTCTCCCCTTTGCTCTGCTGTCATCCCCAGCTGAGCAGAGTGTCCCAACTCCAGGCTCGCAGGGCTGGAGGGACCCTAAAGGAGGGTCCCCTTGCCTGGAGCAGCTTGAGGTTTGCTGAGCAGAGACCTCCCACCTCTCCAGGGGCAGCCCCCGGGCAGCAGAAGCCCAGAACTGGCTTCTGCAAGACTGGCCAGGAGTGAGTTCCCATGTCTTGCAGGCATGTTCTTGAGGCCATCACCTCTTTTTGGGGAGAGGGAAGAGTCTGAGTCCCCTCTCCACGTGGGGCAGGGAGTGGGGAGAAGCGATGCCCCCAGTCACCAGCCCCCTGCCCCACTCCGAGGCATCTCCCCCCCAAGCAGTTCCGTTGTATTATAGATTTACCACTAACCCCATCCCCCTGGTGGCATCTTCCTCCGAACATTTCAGATCTGTAACTTTTATATTAAAGACAAATAAAACACCAATAACGAGCCCGCCTGATGACCCTGTTTACAGTGCATGCACCGTCTGTGGATTAAAGTGACAATCGAATCTGCCTCTGGCACTGGTGTGGCCTCATGTTTTCTCAAGTGCCCCTCATGGTTTTCCTCTGCCCATGGCTCTTTTTCCCTTTATTTTTCCACTGTAAACCTCTTCCTTCCCTCTGCTGAGATGGCCTTGCCCCAGTACAAGCCCTACGCTTGGGAGGGGACATCTGCTACTGTCACCTTCCTCCAGGTGCTGGTGGTCCCTCTGTTGGAGGGGTTTTGGCCCCCCAAACCCCACACTGGCAGGCGCGTGCCCAGCCCGTGCAGCGGCCGCGTGCCGGCGGCCAAGGGCTATAAATAACCCCTAAATAACCCCTGCAGCAGCCAGGGCGGCCGAGCTGCTCCTGCACTATTTTCAGTCCTGAACAGGGTTCAAAATTCCTCTGGAAATAATTGTCACGGGCCAGCTCAGGAGGAGAATGCCCAGACACTGACTGAGCCCTGCGCGACCGCGGGGCCGCATTCCACGGGCCCGGCAGAGCAGGAGGGGGCTGTGGGGTGTCAGCAGCTCATCCCCCCCTGCAGCAGCTCAGAGGGGCACCCCCAGGCCCGGGGCCATGTGGACTCCCTGAGGGTCTGGAACCCTGGCACCCACCTGCTTTTGGGAAAGCCCCAATTTCACTGATTACAGGAGACCTTACCGTGAATGTTGTGGTGGACAAAGGTCATGGCAAAGGGGAGATTTAGGAGAGGGAAGGTCCTTGGTGTGCAGAGAAAACAGAAGCTTTGGCTACAGCTGTATTTTATTTCAGCCTTGAAGCAGCAAGGAGGTGGTGATACAGTGTCTGTGTCTGTGTATGTGTGTGCAAAATTACTGGAGAAGTTGCATATGTGAGTTTGTATCTTGCCACATTATTAATGACTGGTGAGGGCTTCCCATACACCTGGGTCTCCCTGTTACACCTCAGCCATTAGCTCTGTCTCCAGCCCCAGTTCTACAGATGCTCCCTGTGCTCCAGAGTCACATTTAGCAGCTCCAAGTGACAGCCCATGGTAATGGGATTCAGCATCCCACAGCAGAGCCTGATCCCGTACATGGTGCCACTGCTCCAACATGAGTCGTTGCCCAGAGCTGGCTCTGGCATCACTTCAGTCTGAGTTCCTCAGCAGGGCTGAGGGGGTGGGCGAAGGCCCACGTGGCTCTGGAGCAACTCCTCGCCCCGCCAGGAAGGACAGAGCTGCCCCTCTGCCCAGATAACACTTTGTGGTCACCTGTTTCCCAGGACAGCCCCAGCGGGGCTGTGGCTACTTCACCTGTCTGTGCCCCCTGGGGCCATGGTGAGCTGCAAGGAGCTCCTGGCACACAAACCATGGCTCTGGGGCTCAGGGTGCCCGATGCCTGTACAGGGTTGCCAGGACGCAGATGACCCAAGTGATGGAGAAAAACAACCCGAAGAGGAGGCTGAAGAGGATGAGGCACCAGGCCTTTCTGGATGCTGAGAACGCCTGGTCTATGTCCCCACGCCTGATCGCAGCCCGGGTCTGGTGCAAGAGGGAGAAGGGGAGGGGTTAGAAGAGACCCG